AACCACCGACCTGATAAGGCGACATATCGAAATCGACTTTGGACGGACTTGCAGGACGGGAGTCGTCCCCTTTACTCTCATCCACCGTCTGACTCGTCAGGATCAGCTTCGTTAACTGCTGTATTCGCGCATTGAGGTCTTTCATCGCTTTCGACTCGTCGATTTGCTGTCAAAAAAGGGGCCCAGGCAGCAATTAGTAAAGTCTTCTCAATCACTCGACTCGGTAGTAGTGTTGGGACCCACCTCTCGGGCACTCAACCGCCGATTCCTCACTGGTGCCTCTGCCTCCCGCTCTGCCAATTTGTTCTTGAGCTCTTCGATCTCCTTTCGGTACCTTTCGATGAGAGCATCTGTGTCGACGACTTCTTTCTTTTTGGCGTTCAATTGTACTCGCTTGATTCGCGATGCGAACTGTAGCGTGCTTGTACTCTCCGTGACCGCGTTCACATCTGGGTTGATAGTGCAAACGACGCTAATCCGAGCGTCGCCGGAGAGAGAGGGCTGCAGGAGACGGGTGAGTTTGGAGTTGCGGTAAGGGACGTGATCGCTAGGGGGAAAAAGAGATGAATACTCCATGTGGATGACGTTGGGAGAGTTGGAGCGTACGTTTTGTTCTTGGCGGCATTCTCTGCAAGAGTACCAATGACGCTCCCGAGAGTAAGAAGACTGTTGATCGCATTAGTGCAGAAACGCAGATCATTAATGCCTGGTGAGAGAGGTACCTCGTATTGATATACTTGCCCTCCCGTGTCCGTTCCTTGTCTGACGTTGCTTTCTCTGACCCCGCCAGATCGATTAAACTCTAAACACAATTAGTGGGTACTACCGTTCTCTTCACGTCGAGAAAGCTAGCAACTCACCAAAACTGACATTTGCACACTCCTGCCTCCGATCGTCTGCAGTCTCGTGCCCCCAGGGGTCGGTGGTCTCGGTCCGGGTGTCTGTCTGCCACTCGCCTCCGCTTTCCCCTCGCCTCTCTCTCTGCTTTCAATAACAAGCCTGAACACGCTGTGACTCCGACTACTCCTCTCGTTCCAATCCGTACTCGCGGTCCTCCGATGCCTCTCTCCGCGCTCCATCACCTCACGCACACTCTTGAGGCTCGTGACAACCTCCTCTCGAAGTGGCGCCAGCACACCCTGTCCGATTATCTGCACGGGCTGCGTTGCCGACACCGAAGGCGGAGAAAGGAGATCATAGATTGTTTCGTTATAGATCTCAAGGTAGGAGCAACGAAGAAGATATTCGCGTGTCGGTGCTCGCCGGATATGAGAAAAAACGTCCTTCATAGCCCGCGGGATTATACCTGGTTGGTCTTCGTTTCCGGACTGTAACACACGCTAAATTAGTCCAAGAAATGGCCTATAGGACATGACTTACAAGTGTGAAGGTCTTTCCACTTGCTGTCTGTCCATATGCGAATATGACAGCGTTGTATCCTTCCATCGCAGCCCATACGTGGCTCCTTGCGACAGCGTTATATATGGGCTTGTTTTCAGACCCTGAAAGGACCTCATCGAAATGGAATTCCGGAGCAGGGGTGAGTGTCGTTTTGGCATGTTGGGGTAGGAGTTTGATTGTATGGGGAACGGAACTGTCCCAGGCTTGGTGTCCATTTGTGGGGCGAATTCTAACGGAGGGTTGGTTAGAAGGTGACACGACTCACGAACCTAGATGGAAACGGACCGAATAGATACGAGAACCTTGTCTTCTTTCCCGTACTCGGGAATGGGCAACTCCCCTTCATCAATGTCTGCCGAGACGTCTCCCGCTTCAAGGGTCTCATAGTCTACGAGTGCTTCTTCCGGGTCAACCCTACTCACATCCATAGACATGTCTCCGGGGCCCATAAATAAGCCAGGTGCGGGACTTGTTCCTCTCGGAGTGGACGGTGTCTTGGGTCGTGAACCGTCATTTGATTTAGTGGGAGTTCCAGGAACAGGCGCAAGCGAAGAATGCACTGGAGCTTTATTTGTGCGAATTCGGGATTCTGAGGAGAGGGCAGCTTTGTACTTCTTGGCGGTGTTGAGGATAGACGGGGTCGAGAGGTCGCCGTTCGAGGATACAGAAAGAGGACGCTTGGGAGTAAATGGGGCTGGGCGGGCTAGTCTGGAAGTTGAGGCTATGGTCATCGTGGCGCGGTTTCTTCCTTGCTCGCTATGGGGATGAGTTGTCGCTGCTGTCGTCGTCGTCGTTGACAACAGCCTGGTCGCTGTCGGCGATGTTTGAGGTGAACTTGGCTTGATCAACCCTGGGAAATTGCATAAGACGCGTGGGCCACTCGACGCGTCGTGGTCACGTGAAGCCAACGCGTTCTTTGCAGTTCTGCTGGCAATGGCATCTCTCTTACCAGAAGCCATCTGCCTGGGGCGAAGTCAATTTAAGGCCTGTGGGTTGCGTCCTGGGTCTGTCTGAGTTGAAGTGGTATGCATCGGCACAGGTGTATGTGGTGCATGTCTATTACATCAACCGAGTACGTCAAACCAGTCGCCTACTGAATTAGCTGATTAGTCTTGTAGGGGGAAGAGTTAAAACGTTGAAGAGTCACCCCTTGTTACCCTACTTGCGTCTCTCCCACCAAAGCCACCAGTTATGTGTGCTCAGTGATGAATAGAGGTCCCCAAGCTACTCATCGATGCATCCTCATCTCGCTCCACACTCATCTCTGCTACAAACGGTGCGTTACCCTCGAATTAACTAACACACCCGAGAACCCTCCATACAAGTTACCATACAACCCAAGTAAGTACGAGACCAGCCGCGGTAGTTCTACTCTTAGCATACCATTCCAGATGCAACGCACCTTCCGATTCTGGGAGGTCGTGACGGGTCCTCAAGGACAGCAACCTACATCTGTCTCCCACAGACTACAGTCCAGGGCCCATCTGCGGTGGATCAAGGCAATTTGCGTATACTAAGATATTCTCAGCCTCTCATCAACCTCTTCCTTGCCCCTCGCGAATGAAACCTCTGCTCTCCATCTTCAGTCTACCACACCAAAACGTCGTAGAGGACAAACGTTGGCCTTGCCTGGTGGCGTTCAAAACCCCCCCAAGTTGGGCTGTCTGAGCCCGGGACACTCGGTTTCGCACCTGTTCTGTTGGCGATAGGGCGACGGCTAAGAGGAAAGCTGCATTTCTGTCGCCCGCCGAGGGCAGGTCTAGTACGGAGGCCGGATCGAGGACATGTCGGATCTCTCCTTGAGGTGGAGCGGATGAAGCGTTTCCGCGACGGGATCAGATTCAGACGCAGTCACAGGTTGATTCGGGCTGTTTCAATCAGCGATAAGACCATGGCTAAGAGAAAGTCGCAGTTCTCTCGCCCGCCGATGGGCAAGCCTGATATGAAGACTGGATCCAGGACATTTCGGATCTCCCCTTGAGTGGAGCGGATAAAGTGATTCTGCGACAAGGTCGGACAGAGCACGGCTACGGATTGGTTCAGATTGCTGTGCCCCTGAATCAGTCCGAGTTGACCATATTAAAAAATGACAATCTCAGGTACGATTAGTCGAGTGGCAGAAGAAGGTTGCCGTCGCCGGTGTCAAGTTTGTTCGCTAAACGCCGTCCGTCACAGATCAGGATAATGGCGCTAAACTGGAGAGATGTAACCTCCACTGCTCAGTTTGTCCAGCTAACGTCCACGAATCGTATGAGCACCTTACTTCCGTTTGGTTCTGCCCACGCGAAGTACCCGGGAGATCCCCTCGGCGCGGCATCTAGTATTCCCCTGGCCCAACATGGAATCGGGAGCTTGCCCACAAGACCTTAGGTATGATCCCCGTTTGATAATGACTCAAGCGCGTATAGGATGTTCTTCGGTTCATGTGGCCAGCCACCGGCCCCCGAGAGCAAGTCGCCGAGTGTGACTCCCAAGAACACGGCACACAGGACCTAAGGAACATCGGGCAATTTCAATATTGACAAACGCAATATGTGAGCCTCGAGGCTGCTATTATTACTGGCCCTGGAAGTGGTGCTTTTGCGCGCTAATAAGACGCCCATAAGTACCATTTAACCCAGGCCCTTCCGAATCATTCGTCTGATCGTGACCTTTCCCTCTATAATATCAAGAAGCTTCTCGTGGACATGAGTGCGCGCAAGACAACGGGATTTGTCCGGGTAGGTTACAGATTGCAAATGTGGAGTGACAGGAATTGATGTCCCTAGCTCGACGACGAGCAGAAGTTCACAAACGACGCAAAGAACATCCAAGGAAGCTCAGTGAGTTCCATCTGTATCCCGCGGAGGCGCTCTCTGATTATCGATTGCTTAGAGCTACCATACCCCACATAGGGCTGGGTCGACGTCAACATTAACGTCAATGTCACCGACCTTGCAAGGAGGCTCAGTGAGTTCCGTCTGTATCTCGGGGAGGCGCTCTCTGATTATCGATTGTTCAGAGCTACCATACCCCACATAGGGCTGGGTCGTCGTCATCGTCAACGTCACCGACCTTGCAGTCGCCCTCTTCAGCGTTACCGCCACCCGTGTTGAGTGCACACTGCGCCAGAATGTATGTGGCGGTAAGTGCATATTCGTTGATCAATAGGGAGGCTTTAAAAAAGGGTTACCTCTTGCAGAAACGAAAAAGTGTAATGGATAGTTGATCTACATGATCAGTCAATCGGGTTGTGGGCCGTGTGGGTGACTCCGATCTGCTATTCGACGGCGTATATCTGACAAGACCACAGTCTGGGAAATAGAACCAGCATTACGACCTCGCCACATCAAGATGTGGGAAACAAGCTCGTTTCACCTGAGTTCTAGAGAGTTGCTAGTCCTACTCACTCCCATTCGATATGTTTTATTTTTTCCTCATTTGTATAACACGAGCTTCAGTATCAGTCTCGCCTTGCTTGCAAATCTTGGTTGTACATTATATAACGTAGGAGTTGTCTAGTCGGACCAAGTCAGTCGAAGTTGGGAAGTATGGCCATTCGCTGAAGGCGTACAAGTGCTCCCCCTGCCCAAATTAACGCAACCATCGCCCTGGCTATCGGCTTTGTAGTGTAGCGGTTATCACTTGAGATTCTGATGTGGCATGTAGACTGCCAATGTTCTCAAAACCCAGGTTCGAGTCCTGGCAAGGCCTAAGTTTTTGGTACTCCAACAATTGCAAGCCGTGTCCAAAGTCATTAATTTTTAGGGAGTCTGATGTCTCAGGTTAGTACAGTATAGGACCGGCATTTGCGCCACCATCGGCCCTTGCGCCAACATGTCACAGTGCTCAAACTCTGCACTTTGGGCCCTCTACAAGTATCTA